TCCCTACAACAGAACACAGAACTCCATCCTTTTAACCTCCAAGATTAGTTTCTTCATCAGCTATAAGCATGCCACCAAGCCAGAGCTACATATTTGAGTTATTTTCTGAGGCTGGGAAAAGGGCAATGTTGACTTGTGCCCTGCCTGGTAAAGGCTTCAGCCTGAAAATAACATTTTCTGCTTACTTTCCTTGGCTAGAACAAGTCCCACGGCCCTTTTTAACTTCACAGATAAGAAGTGCAGTCTTCCATGTGCCTCTAAAAAGAAGTGAGTTGAATCAGAGTGAACAACACTAATGATTACCTGAAAGTTTTCCTGATGAAGGGACATTAGTGATCATTTCCTTATGGCTGTAAGAAACAGCAGAGATGCATGGGAGACAGGTCGGTCCTCTTTCTGTATCTCCTTCCCTCTCTCTCCTTCCTTTCCTCCACCCCTCCCTCCCCCTTTCCTTTTTTTCGTAATGACTTAGACACTTATAAACCATTACCCAACCCCAAAACTGGAATGTTATTAATAACCTATACCTACCCATGTGCTCCTCTACATTGCCATTGTCTGAATTTGTGTTTGTCATTCTGTTGTGTAGACTTACTTGGGCCAAGATTGTGGCCTGAGCTCCACTTCCTATCATAGGCACAACAAAATTAAAACAGAGTAACTACTGATGAGAAAGATTGGAATCTAGCAGAAAAGGTCTTCTACAACTAAAGATATAGAGAAGGAATCTCAAGGAGATAGGTAGGAGGGGTGGAGTCTTGATATATCAAGACTTATACCCTTGGGTGGACGACCCATAAATGGGAACATAATTACAGTTGCAGAAGCTTTTCCTGAGGAGTGAGTGCTCTAAGCCCCACATCAGGCTGTCCAGACTGGGGGCCCTGCACTGGGACGATGAGCCCCCAGAACGTTTGATTTTGAAGGTTGGCAGGGCTTACTTTTGGGAGAGCCAGAGGGCTGTGGGAAACAGAGACTCCACTCTTAAAGGGGGCACACAGGATCTCACACACTCCAGGACCCAGGGCAGAAGCAGTAATTTGAAAGGAGCTTATAGCTCATAGCCACCTGCTTATCTTGGGAAGCCTCCTGGAGAGGTAGGAGGTAACTGGAGCTCACCCTGGTGACATAGACATTGGTAGCAGCCATTTTTGGGAACTTGTCCTACTACCTGGGCACTGGTGCTGGCAAGCACCATTTTGTAATCCTCTGTCTAGCTTATTAGCATTGGAACTTGCCCCACCCACCAATACTGTGATGCCTCAGGCCACGCAACTAATTGGTGGGGACACAGTCTCACCCACCAGAAGGCAGGCTGCCTTAAGACTCCCTGAACTGACACCTTCCTTGTGACATGGCCTGTCCACCAGAGGGTCCAGCACCCAGCCCCCCACACCAGGGCATAGGCAGTAACCCTAGGACCCCCAGAGTCCTGCAGCCAGAAATTCCAGGATCTGGCTCTGCCTGCCAATGGGCTGGTAGGCCAAATGACCAGTAAGACAGAAATACAGCCCCACCCATTAAAAAAAAAAAAAAAAAAGGAACAACAAAAAAATGTTACAATGAAGGAGCAAGGTAAAAACCTACAAGACCAAATAAATGAAGATGAAATAGGCAGCCTACCTGAAAAAGAATTCAGAGTAATGATAGTAAAGATGATCCAAAATCTCAGAAACAGAATGGACAAAATAAAAGAA